GGATTAGTTGAATATCCAAAGGGTTCAATAAAAATAATAAAATATATATTATGTGTGTATATAGGAATAATTGTCGGGGAAGTGTGTTGGCTTTGCGCGGAAGTTGGAAGGAACCGGTAGGTTGAGTACCGGAGGAGTTAACGTTTACAACTAGGTGATGGAGTTGAGTTGAATTGATTATTATTGAGCCACTTAGCCTATATTATCCTACCCGATCCAAAGAGCCTACGTTACATCCCGAGAAGTCCTCTTGATTCACTATTTCATTAATTTGATTGTTTTAGGGTAAAAGTTAGACGATAGGCAAGTTTATGATTGATTTAATTGACGACCAATTTGAGCGCACCTATCATATATTTGCGAAAGAAACTGAGTGAGGCATATGATATATATCTTCGTACTCGAGAGTCCTTGTCGTCGAAATAGCCAAGTTAATAGTTGAGGTGTGATTTTGTGATCATTGGAATTCTTGTCGATTTGATTGATTAGTTTGAGATTAGTCTTGCTTGAACCGTTGTCCTTGCTCATTTGTTTCTTTTCTTTTCTTTCCTTTTCTTTTTGTTCGGGACGAACAAAGGTTTAAGTGTGGGGGAGTTGTTTGTCCCATTTTTGTTGCATTTTTCGTTGTTGTTTTGTCATTCTTTTCCCCCCGTTTTAGATGTTTTCACCGATTTTTAGTTCGTTTTATAGTTTATTACGTGTTTTCCTTTATTTTGGTTTATTTGTGATTTTTGTGTGTTTTCTCTGGTTTTTCTTCGTTTTTGGTGTGCAGGTCAGAAGCCCGTGAGGAATATATTTAGCCCGAAAATCGACCGGGAGATCATGGTTGCGTAGAAGGGTTTGTTGGCGAAATACAGGAAGAAGCGGAGCTCAATTTCGAGGTCGGATGAGTCCGAACGGTCCCAAAACGCGAAGTCACACGAAGCACGTCTTTGGTGTGTTGGTCATAAGCTATGATAGAATTGGATTTCAAGAATAATTTGGCCATTCAAGCACCATTGAATAGAGGGTTTCGTTAGCGATGCGTAGGAAAAAACGGAACTCAATTCCGAGTTCGGACAAGCCCAAACGAACCCGAAACGCAAAGTCATGCAGCCCAGCCCCAGCTAGCGGCGCTAGGGGGTGCTAGCGGGCTTCTGCAGCTCCTTACGTACCCTAGCGGCGCTAGGTACCCTTTGGCGGCGCTAGGGCTCCCCTTAGCGGCGCTAGGGTCTGTTTTTTTGCCAAAATTGCGTTTTTCTCGAGCTTTTCAAAGGAGATGGGCATATGGGATCGAGGAGAGTGTCTTTTGACCGGATTTTCATCCCCCAAAACACAATTCTTCACCACTTTTCTTCTCTTCTTCCCCCTCCTCCTTCTTCTCTCTTCTTCTTCTTCTTCTTCTTCTTCTTCTTCTTCTTCTTCTTCTTTTTTTTTTCTTCTCTTCTCTTCTCTTCTCCCCTTCTTTCTTTCTTAGTTTTCATTTTGTTCTTTGTGAGACTTTGTAAGGTAGAAGAAGGACACTCTCTTTTTTTCCTTGCTTATGGATTTGGTATGTACTAGATTTGCATTTGAATTTCATATTAATAGAAGTTTTTATTTTCAGTATGTTTATGATGATGATGATGATGATGATGATGATGACTTTAATTGATAAGATTGATTGTGTTGAATTTATAGTACGTAGCTAATTCCAATTGCTAGGAATAGGGGATGATTGTTCTCATTTAATTCGTGTTTGTTGGGCTTTAATTTGTCCGTTCTTGTGCGAGTTGAATTGATTAGGAATTAATGAATTTTGTGCTTGATTGATTGATATAACCGAAGGGTGACACTTTGGTCTTGTGATTGGAATCGATTGAATATTGATTTGTCGAGTTAGGGTTTGTTGATTCTACATGAGTAGTCGATTTAATATCTTCTAGTTTATTTAGCGATTCTAGAACCGATAGGGGAGGAGTCGTAGAACTAGGCTCGTATGAGGTAGACATGTTCGGAGACGTATTGTCTATAGGTTTTGGATTGAAGTACACGCTTGTCGATGTCCCTTTCCATGTTACGAAAAGTTATTGGGATTCGATTATTGGCCGGTGTTGTATGCTCGAACTTGCTCGTCTATGTTCAATCCCATGTTACGAAGAGTTATTGGGAGCGAACCGCTAGATGTTTAAACGAGAGTATCAATCTTAAACCGAACGATTAATTGCCCGGCTTCACGTTTGGAACTTGAATTAATCATCCCCGATTCCCTAGCCTCTTTATTTTTGTGTCGTTTATATTTCTAGGTAGATTTATGTTTATGTTATTTATTAGGTAATAATCAAAAATCAATCTTTGATTAGAATGTTTAGGATTTATTTTCCTTTTTTATGCTATCAACACCAATCCTAAATTCCGAACTGCCTTCCTCGAGAGATCGACCCAGGGAACAAGTCCTTCGATTCGGTACTCGGTAAAGAAAAACAATTTGTGCTACAACAGGACCATTTTAGTCCGGCTCGGTACGGAAAAATTCAGTTTTTTTACCCACCCCTAATAATAAATGTTGTTTTTTAGGCAAAATTGCACCTCACATCACGACTTTATCGACTTTTGCACTCTGTCACGACTTTGGGACCTTGGCAATTCGATACCCAACCTTTGATGTTTTTGCAAGACCAAGCATTGATCACCTTGCCGGCCGACAGATGCCAGCTTGTCTGGCAACTTAATCCAACATGGCACTGACATGGAGGACGTGTCTCAGGCCAAAATATACACCTCATCAATGCGACGTCGTTTCACCTGTAAAAACATCTTATAAATAGCAAAAAATCCCCAAAAAATCATCAAATCCCTAAATTTCTTACGACCCTGCGACCCTCCCTACACCCCGCGACAAGAAATTGTTCTTCCTTCAGCTCCAAAAAATCACTGCAATCACTATCTAAGAAGCGAGAAATTCATACATGTCCGTCATCTACAATGAGGATTTGCAGAGATTTTGTAAGGGTTCTTCAGAAATCGAAGGCTTTTTGTACAAATTTCCAGCTTTCTTCAGAAAATTGCAAATTTGTCGAGAATTTGTAGGGTTCTTCGACAGCTTTTGGATTTGTCGACACAAATTGTGGGCTGTCAGTGAATGGGATTTAGGGATTTTTCGATTTCGATTTCGATTCAGGAACTTAGGGCATCTGTTTGGTCGAGGAAAGAATGAATGGGATTTAGGGATTCGATTTTGATTTCGATTTAATGTAATAAATTATTTATTTTTTTGGTATTTATACATGATGAAACGACGTCATTGGACATGGCATGTCATTTTGCAGGAGACAAGTCCTCCATGTCACTGACATGTTGGATTAAGTTGCCGGACAAGCTGGCATCTGTCGGCCGGCGAGGTGGTCAATGCTTGGTCTTGCAAAAACATCAAAGGTTGGGTATCGAATTGCGAACGTCCCAAAGTCGTGACAGAAGTGCAAAAGTCGATAAAGTCGTGATGTGAGGTGCAATTTTGCCTGTTTTTTATATATGCTATTACTTGCCCTGGCTTTAACTGATCTTAAGGTTATTGGGTCAATTGCAAATAATAAAATTAAGTTATTTTAGAAAAAAAAGAAAAAAAAGAAAAAAAAAACTTATGAATATTCTTATTTTTTATAATATAGAAACATGCAAGAGAGACAATTAGTTTTTATGTAAATTCTTTTATTTTAAATCTCAAAATTATTTATTATTATAATTATTTACTATACGAATAAAAATTAAATTTTACTAAAAAAAATTAATATGTTAAGCAAAATAAAAAAAGGTATTGGATTAATCGGATTAGCCGCGCTAGGTTAATATTCGGGTCGAAATCGCCATATGATTAGTACAATAATAAAAAAAAAATGATGTCCGATTGCATTATAAGTTATTTTATTTTATTATGTTTCAACTTGGTCGCCGTGATTCAACCAAAGAACATTGTACAACGATCTATGTTGTTAATCGGGCCTAGGGACCAAAACACCGAGCGATAGAGGATTACCGGTTTCCGGTCTAGGGTTTCTTCCGTTGGGAGTTTTTCCGGCTATTACCGGTTTCCGGTCTCCTTCTTCTGCACCCTCTCCTCGTCTCTTCTATTTGCTTTTATCTTATCTATTCTCTTTCCTTCCGCCACCCACTTTTCTCTCTCCCTATTACATCTCCTCTCCTTCCGTTGTTTCCTTTTCTTTCTGGCCCAAAATGGAAGACGTCCTTTCTGATCGGCTTAACAAGTTTTCCCTCTCTCAACAAGAAGAAAACATTATTGATCTTGAATCTACAGATATCAAACTCAGTGATGATGAGTGTCGACGGAGCCTATTCGGTAAAGTATTTGGTGACAGAAAAGCCCATATGTTCGGCCTCAAAAGAACAATGTCTCATATCTGGCAACTTAAACACCCCCTTACAGTTCGAGAGCTAGAACCAAATTTTTTCCAATTCCTCTTTGATTCGGAAGCTGAAAAGAAAAGGGTTGCCTCAGGGAAAAACTGGTCCTTTGAAAACCAATACATCATCCTGAAAGAGTGGCAAGATGACCTCACAGCAGCTCATCCCTGTTTTCAAGAAATGGACTTCTGGGTTCATGTCGGCAACATTCCTCTGAATTGGCTTTGTACGGAAGTCGGCCTCAAAATCGGAAAAGCTTTCAAAATGGTGAAAAATGCAACCATCTGTACAGGTACTGGTAACTGTGGTCGCTATTTACGTTTGCTTGTTTCAGTCGACCTTAAGGAACCATTTTTGCGATGCTCTTCTATCAAATTGGGGGATAAAGTTCGCAGGATAGAATTCAAATATGAAAAACTCATCAACTTATGTTACTACTGCGGAAGGATTGGCCATATGGATAGAGGATGTACTTTCAAAGAAGAGGATATCATCAATGGTAAATTGTGTGAAGGCCAATTCGGAGACTGGTTAAAAGCCTCTGATGGAGTTTACTCCCCTCGTTCTCACACCCCTTCAGACCCAACCTCACAAACAAAAGATAACCATAATTCCCACACTGTTCAGGGGACTTCAACCTCTAAAAATACCCCAGAAGTAGGTACCAGCAACTCCCCTGTACAATCATCCAAGCCAATAGATTCCTCCTCTAAAGCCTTATTACCATCTCCCTCTCTTGCTCTCCAGCTAATACTCCAACTAGACAAAACCAAAGCCTCAAGCAAATCTTTACTCCTTGACTTCCAAAACCCAAACACAGTTTTCGTTGACCAACCCATGGACTTCTCACTCTCCACACCTCCACTTGCTATAGCCCCTCTCCCTAGCCCAGTAACCCACCAACCCGGGAAAAAGTGGACAAGAAGACAGGCAAAATTAGCTGAATCCAGTTCCTCATTTCCTAAACCAGCACCCCCTGCTTCTCACACCAGTGGAAAAAGAACCAGACATGCACCCTTTGACCTTCCAGATATATCCAAGAGCTCTGATCTTCAAAATGCTGGAACTTCTAAGGGCCCTGACACTAAATCCAAACTTACCAAGAAACAGAAGGTTACTACTCAGCTAGAGGAAGATAATCAACAACTTTCAGCTCAGGTGGAGAAAGCCAGCCTCAAGTGGCCCCAAGGTGATCAATGACAGCCATGGTGTGGAACTGTAGAGGTCTGGGTGGGCCCTCTACAGTTCCCCAGATAAAGGAATCTTGGAGATTCCACCATCCAAATTTTGCTTTCCTTAGTGAAACCAGAAAATCCAAAAAATTTGTAAATACTGTCTGCAGAAACTTGGGTGTTGATGATAGATGGGTAGCTTCTGATCCAATTGACAAAAGTGGAGGCTTGCTCCTTTTCTGGAATTTGGAAGTTGAAGTCCTTCAAACCATCTGTCATCCTTTTTGCATTGAAGTTGAATATAAACTTAACAGCTTTCAAGATTCTGCTTGGTTCATTTTTGTCTATCTTAGTCCTTGTAAGAGAACCAGGTCAGAGCAATGGCAATTCCTACTACAGTCTAAAATAAAATGGGGTCCTAATTGGGTAATAGCTGGTGACTGGAATGATATTCTTTGCACTGAAGAAAAGAAGGGAGGCAGATGGAGGTCTGAACATAGCTTCTGGGGTTTTAGAACTTGCATTGCAGACTTGGGTGGACAAGAAATTTCCATGGAAGGTCACCCCTTCACTTGGGGAAACAACAGATTGGGAGAAGGCTTCATTGAAGAAAAACTAGACAGAATGGTGGCCTCCTTGTACTGGCATGCTCAGCACCCCACAGCAAAGGTTCTCAACACCTTTAAGAGTGCCTCAGATCACAGCCTCTTACTCTTACAAACTGCTACCCCTCAACATCACAAGAAAAGGACTTTCTGCTTTGATAAAAGATGGATAAAAAAACAAGGCATCAGAGAAGAAATCCAAAAGGCATGGGACCAACCAGTCACAGGCTCAGCAATGTTCTCCCTATCTGAAAAAATCAAATCCACAAGAGTGGCTCTTCTTAAATGGAACAGGACTTTCCAAACAAACTCTGCAGTGACTATTGCCCAACTTACATCTGAAATGGCAACTCTGAGAGAGCAAGGTGGAGACAGAGATTGGGACAAATGGGCTCAACTTAAACACAAACTTGATGAAGCATACAAGGAAGAGGAATCCTTCTGGAAGCAAAAATCAAGGGTCTGTTGGCTCAAAGAAGGAGACAAAAACACTCGATTCTTTCATGCTTATGTCCTTCAAAAGAGAAAGTTGAACTCCATTGTCAAACTCAGGGCTGCTGACAATTCCATTTGTGCCACCAGAGAATCAATCACAGGCTGCATCTCAGACTATTACAATACTTTATTCACTTCTGAAGGATCTGTTGATATGGGAAACCTTCTCAGCTATATTCCAGCCTCCATCTCCCAGGATCAAAATGCATCTCTCTCTGCCCCAGTTACTGAAGAGGAAATCCAGAATGCTCTCTTCAGCATGAAACCTGACACAGCTCCTGGCTGGGATGGTATGCCTCCTTCCTTCTTCCAATCCTTCTGGAGTATTGTTAAAACTGACTTATGCAAAGCTGTCCTGTCTTTCTTTACCTCTAACCACTTGCTCAAAAACTGGAACCTCACCTTAATCTCCCTCATTCCTAAATGCCAGTCCCCTATCTCTGTTGGAGACTATAGACCTATCACCTTGTGTGAGGTGATTTATAAAGTTATCTCTAAAATTATTGCTGAAAGACTCAAACCATGCCTCCCCTCTTGCATTAGTAACACACAATCGGCCTTCATCCCTGATAGACAACTCCTTGATAATGTGATCATAGCACATGAAGCCTTTCATTTCCTCAGTAGACACAGAACAGGTCCTAAAAGATACATGGCCCTTAAGCTAGACATGTCCAAAGCCTTTGACCGCATTGAATGGGCCTGTATCAAATGTATTATGGACAAAATGGGTTTTGACAGAACCTTTGTAACCTGGATCATGGCACGTGTGCAGTCCACCACTTTCTCTTTCAAACTTAATGGACTTCCTGCTGGTTATATAACTCCTTCTCGAGGAATAAGGCAAGGGGATCCCATATCCCCTTACTTGTTCCTCTTAGTTTCTGAGAGTTTATCTTGTTTAATTCAGCATGAACTTAATACTGGCTCTTACAAAGGTCTGAAACTTTCAAGGCAAGGGCCCACTCTCAGCCACCTCTTCTTTGCTGATGATTCATTGCTGTTTTGCCATGCTACTCTTGAGTCTGCTAACCTCATTCTATCAATGTTGGAGAAATATAAAAGCTTCACAGGGCAGCAAGTTAATCTATTGAAATCTGCAGTGTTCTTTAGCAAAAACACACCCACTACCACTCAAACTGCCATCTGCCATACTCTCCAAGGTATCTCTCTTCACCAATCTTCTAGATATCTGGGGTTGCCACTTGGGATAGGCAGATCCAAAGTAGAAGCATTCAGTTATGTAACTGAAGCTGTCAAGAAAAGACTGCTCAGTTGGAAAAACAAATTCCTCTCAAGGGCAGGTAAAGAAGTCCTCATCAACTCAATTCTGAGTGCACTCCCAGTCTTCACTATGTCATGCTTCCTACTGCCATTGGGTATCTGTCAAGAACTTTCCAAACTTTTTGCCAACTTCTGGTGGTCAACTCAGAGTTCCAACAGCAATGGTATTCACTGGAAAGCCTGGTCTTTTCTTTCTCTACCAAAAGCTGCAGGAGGACTCAACTTTCATGATCTTCATGTCTTCAATGAAGCACTCATCTTGAAGCAAGTCTGGAGAATGATCACAAAACCTGACCTCCTTATGAGCAAAGTTCTCAAGAGTAGATATTTCCCCTCTGGTGACTTTTTCAGTGCAAAACCTACTCAAAATGCTTCCTGGTTATGGAGAAATTGGCTCAAAGTCCAGAAAACTTTCTTGCAGGGCTTTATGATGCAAGTTCACAGTGGCAGGCAAACCAGAATCTGGGATCACCCTTGGGTTCCAACCCTCTCACCTCACAAACTGTTAACCAAAACACCCTCTTCCCCTAACCTTATTTGGGTTTCTGATCTCATTGCTGAAGATGGTATTTCTTGGGATAGAGAACTCATCTGCAGCTCCTTTTCTCAATCTGAAAGTGATGCCATCTTACAGATAAAAAATTTGAACAGACACCAACCTGATAAGCCCACCTGGTCCTTTGATGCAAAGAAAACCTTCTCTGTGGCTGCTACCTATTCACAGCTTATTGCAGACAAAATCCTGAAGCTTGACATACCTGGAAACAGCTCCAATGCAGGTAGCTTAAGGAAAATGAGGAACAGGAGCTGGAGGCTAAATATCAAAGGCAAAGTCAAACATTTCCTCTGGAAATGCTTCAGTGGAGCCCTTCCTGCTGCTGTCAACCTCAAAAGAAGAGGCCTGGACTTAGACACAACCTGCATGCTCGTGGAGAACTGCCTGAAACAGTCGAACACCTCCTTTTCCAATGTCCAAGAGCAATCACAGTTTGGAAACTATCTCATGTGCAATGGGGCAATCTATCATACAGTGATGGTCTCTTCAAACACTGGTGGGCTGACATATGCTCATTAAAAAAGGACAAGGCAGTGGAAGAAAGAATGCAGCTCTCTACATACATTATGTGGCAACTATGGAAAACTCGCAACCTGGTATTCCAGAAAGTCCAAACCCCGGAGAAGATCATTGTGGAGATGGCTGTTAAAGAATGGTTGGAGTACTGCTCGCCTCTCCTTCCTCATTAGGCTTGCTGCTGGTTTTCTTTTTTGTCTCCTTTTTTGATTTCTGTTTTCCTAGCTAGGCTTTGGCAGTGGCTAGTTTCTTTGTCTTGTTGCTATTTTGGCTGTTTGGTGTGGTTGTAAGGTACTTCTGTAGTTTGGTGTTGTCCTTTGTCTCTTTTTAGTTGTAGTATGTTTCGATGTTTAGTGTTTGTATTGTTCGTTGTAGTATGTATTCAAGTTGCAGATTTCCGCATTTGTTCGCGGCTGCTACTTGTTTAGTATTGTTCTTGTTATTCTCTAGGTGGCTTCTAGCTCGCCTCTGATCCTTATGGATTGCGGTCAGAAATGATCCCGTGTACGAACTATTTTATTTATGAGATATTCTATTATCGTTTCGAAAAAAAAAAAAGATCTATGTTGTTTATATATTAATATAATATAATATTACTTAAAGTTTACCAAATGTTTGTTGTCTTTATAACTTTCAATATTGTATGATAAATTATTTTTATTTAATTATTAGTCTTCTAACATCAAGGATAATGAGGAGTTGCAAGTATTCTTCTCATCTTTTGCAGAAGGAACTGATTTAAAAGTTGAAAGTGGGAGTGGAGAGATTTCGTGAAACTACTCCATGTCCAATGACTTCTATTCAAGTTAAGCGATGCCCATCAAATGGAAACTTGAAAGCCAAATTTCAACTAACAATTTGTATCCTACTAGTTCGTACAATACACGGCTTGTGAAAGAGCTGCAACAAAAAGAAAGGTATCAACTATCAACAAACAAAGGAATGGATTGCTTATTTATGTGTTCTATGAAACTCTATAGGCCTTTTAGCTTAGACCCCTTGCTCAAGTCTTTTCTTCCAATTCACAGCAATCATCTCCACTCTCCAGACTTTTCTGTAATCCAAAGGCAGCCCATCAATGATTGCATTTCACCACAATTAATCTCTCCAAACCCGGGTTAACAATCTTCAACCTGGGAATGGAATGGATTAATTAAAATCAGCTTATCCTCCAATTTGGTTTGATGGGTTCAAGAGAGAAAGAGACCGCCTAAAAAAAGAATAAGAAAATAAAAATAGAAAGTTGATTAGTTGGCTGACAAGGTCCCGCGTTTTTCGTAGACTTCACTTGCAAAACTTTTCCAAGAGCAGTATATAATGAGCCGATTCTTGAATTGCTGCTTCACCAGTCCAATTTCAAGGCAAGCCCCAGATTCACAGGTACTGCAATAATGCCCCCATATCTTATGTTTAAATTAATGACAATCCATTTGGGATTTCGATTCGGTGCGTTTAGTGATGTTTTGATGTTTGGTTTTTAGGTATCACCAGACATTATGGAGAAGAAATCCAATATCAATGTCGCCGGTAACTTTCATAGCGAGGTAGGAATAGGAAGGGTTTTTATTTTTGTCTGATGCTTCTTTATTGGCTGCTTCAATTTTCTCCTGTTGTTTTAGGTGAATCCTCTGTTATAGTGAATCCACTATCATGAATTGTGTCAGAAGTCTCCAAATTTTTATAAATTGAATTGTTAAATTGAGAAATATTTTCACGGCTAAATGTGGTTAAGTTCCATGGGAGAGCATTCCACCCATTTCCCATTTTCATCAAACTCAGATTACTTCCAGAAACTTATATTCTTGATTCTTCGTGCAGAAATCGAGTGAGCATATAAATGATCCCGTTATCACGCCTGTTCCCAACATCATTCTTAACCATGATTTTTCGGAAGGACTTCATTCGTGGCATCCCAATTGCTGTGAGGCCTCTGTGGTGTCCTCAGAGTTTGGTCAGCCTATAGAGCTTCCAGTCAAACACAATAGCCGTTTTGCAATTATAACAAACCGGAAAGAATGCTGGCAGGGCCTCGAGCAGGACATTACAGACAGGGTCAAAGCAGGCACCACTTACTTGGTCAGAGCTTGGGTCGGAATATCGGGGGCTCCTCAAGATGTTTCTGATGTCCTGGCCACTCTGAAACTTGAGCACCAAGATTCGTCTGTTAGTTATTTGTCCATTTCTAGGTAGTCATTTTCTCTTTTAGTTTAGTTCAAGCGTTAATTGAAATAAATATTTGCTGATTCCAATAACAACCTGTAGAACATCTGCTTCAATGGGGCACTGGGGTACGATTGAAGGCACTTTCTGTTTGTCAACCGTGCCTAAACGAGTTATCTTCTATCTTGAAGGGCCTTCCCCTGGTATCGACTTACTTATTAGATCAGTCGTAATTTCCAGCGCTTCTTCCAGTCAATGTGATGTAAGTTCATGCATTTACAGAACGGACACTATTAAGAAAATAATTTTCTTGTCTAGTAAGCATTACAGTGGAAAACTCGCTTGGCATAATGAAAAGAATCCAGCCGACTTTGTAAAATTTTAGATAATCTAATGATGTCAATTTTGAATATTGTTGATAAAATTCTGAAATGGTTCTGGTGTTTGCGTAGACTCGAGCTGCTGGCACTGTGTGTGATGAAGATGATAACATCATACAGAACCCAACATTTGAAGATGGCCTCAATAATTGGTCTGGGAGAGGCTGTGGTATCGAGTTGCATGATTCCATGGGAGATGGAAAAATCCTTCCCATATCCGGAAATCACTTTGCATCCACAACGAACCGCACACAAAACTGGAACGGGATTCAGCAGGAGATAACGGGGAGCATACGGAGAAAGCTTGCGTACTGTGTTACTGCTAATGTCCGAATATATGGTAATAATGTCAACAGTGCAAACGTTAGTGTCACAGTTTGGGTTCAGGAAGCTGATAACCGTGAGCAGTACATAAATGTTGGCAGGTATGACGCTTGCACGACAGAGTTTTGTGCCTCTCTCTATCTCCCATATGAAAAGACTGACCCTAGAATATCATTCTTTCCTATGAAACGTAAATTCTTTTTATGAAAGAATGTCGACACCAGAACATGATTTTTTTACAAAAATAAATGTCCTCCAAAGTTTGTGTCTTTGAATCTTTTGTATGATCAATGATGTTAAAGACCAATTTTTTACAGTACGTACAAAATGTAATATACTTGACCTGCAGGAGTGGCTGTGAATAATTTAATTGTTTCCGTAAATGCACATCTCATAGTTTGTAAAACTTGCTTCATATATGTTTTCCCATGACAATTATTGTGGCAACTGTTTCATTCTTGTGTGTGTGTGTGTGTGTGTGTGTTCCAATCTTTTTTTAAAAAAAGAAAGGTTGTTGGTTGTGTAGTGTACAGGCAACAGACCAAAGTTGGCAAGAGGTGCAAGGGGAATTTCTTCTAAATGGTTTCCCCTCAAAAGTGGTTATATATTTAGAAGGCCCACCTCCAGGCACTGATATTCTCCTCGATACACTCGTCCTGAAGAATGCCCCCGAACCCCCGCCGGCATCCCCACCAGTCATTGAGGTACACTTGAATAAAGTGATGGTCTTTAATATGCGAGAAGAAACAAAAAAAAAAAGATTATTTAAAAACTGCTTCTACCTTTTTCCTGTTTGAACCAGAATCCCTCTTATGGAGTCAATATAATCACCAACAGCAACCTTAGTGACGGCACCAATGGATGGTTCCCACTCGGGAATTGCACTCTCACCGTTGCCAATGGCTCACCACGCATTCTTCCTCCCATGGCTGCAGACTCCCACATGCCTCTGAGTGGCCGCTACATTCTCGCAAGCAAACGCACTCAGACATGGATGGGTCCCGCCCAGATGATTACCGACAAAGTCAAACTCTATTTGACTTATCAAGTGTCCGCGTGGGTCAGGATTGGGACTGGGGCCACCGGACCTCAGAATGTGAATGTTGCTCTCAGTGTTGATGGCCAGTGGGCGAATGGCGGCCAGGTGGAGATTAACGATCAGCAATGGCACGAGATTGGTGGGTCCTTCAGAATCGAGAAGCCGGCTGCAAAGGTGATGGTTTACGTGCAGGGTCCCAATGCCGGGGTCGATCTGATGATTGGAGGTTTTCTGATTTTTCCAGTGGATAGGTGTGCGAGGTTTAAACACTTGAAGATGCAAACGGAGAAGGTTAGTCCGGATTTTCTTCCCTGCCTTGAATACTTTTGGTTGCAGTGGATCAGTTTAGGCAAAAATGCATTATTAGTCCTGTTAGTTTTACGCCGTAGCAATTTTAGTCCTAAGGTTCCAACTTTTTGCCTCTTGATCCTGTGATTTAATATTTTACTGCAATTTTTACAATTTTAGTCATTTGAGGACTGAAATTACAATAAAATTTTAAATTACTGACTGAAATTGCAAAAAAATATTAAATCATAGGACTTGAATTGCTAATCGAATCCTTTGAAGATTGAAATTGCAGCAAAATATTAAATCACAGGGCCATAAAGCGAAATGTTGGAACATTGGGACTAAAATTGCTATGGCGTTAAGCCACCAGGACTAAAAATGCAATTTTTCCATCAGTTTATTCTGCTATGGTCGTTTGCTCCTTCAATACTTTCAGCATATATATATATATATATATATATATATATATAGATATATATTATATTTCACAACTTCATATCCGTTTCTCCATGCAGATACGCAAGCGCGACGTCACCCTAAAATTCACCTCGTCTGACTCCAACACCCTGGCTGGCTCCTTCCTCAGAATAAAACAAACACAAAACAGCTTCCCCATGGGATCATGCGTGAACCGCACAAACATCGACAACGAGGACTTTGTCAAATTTTTCACCGCCAACTTTAACTGGGCCGTCTTTGGCAACGAGCTCAAGTGGTACTGGACCGAGCCCCAAAAGGACAAGTTCAACTACCGGGACGCCGACGAGATCCTCGCCCTGTGCGAGTCCCATAACATCCCGTGCCGCGGCCACTGCATCTTCTGGGAGGTCCAATCCGCCGTCCAGCCGTGGGTCCAAGCCCTCTCCAAGCCCGACCTGGCGACAGCTGTCCAAAACCGCCTCACGGGACTCCTCACGCGCTACAAGGGCAAGTTCAAGCACTACGACGTGAACAACGAGATGCTGCACGGCTCGTTCTACCAGGACCGTCTCGGGATCGGCGCCCGGGCCGAAATGTTCGAGACCGCGGCCCGGTTCGACCCGTCCGCCACCCTCTTCGTTAACGACTACCACGTGGAGGACGGGTGCGACTCGCGCTCGTCTCCCGAGAAGTACATAGCTCAGGTCGTGGGCCTGTGGGCCCAAGGGGCGCCCGTGGGTGGCCTCGGGATACAGGGCCACATAGACTACCCTGTGGGGCCCATTGTTCGGTCGGAGCTCGACAAACTGGCCACGCTCGGGATCCCGATTTGGTTCACGGAGCTTGACGTGTCGTCGGAGAACGAGTACGTGAGGGCGGACGATTTGGAGGTTATGCTGCGGGAGGCTTACGCGCACCCGGCGGTGGAGGGAGTGATGCTGTGGGGGTTCTGGGAGCTTTTCATGAGCCGGGAGAACGCGTACCTCGTGAATGCTGAAGGGGAGGTTAATGAGGCCGGGAAGAGGTTTCTGAAGCTGAGGGAGGAGTGGCTGACGAAGGCCCACGGGCATGTGGGTGAGGATGGTGGGTTTGGGTTCAGAGGGTTTCACGGGTCGTACGAGGTCGAGGTTGTGATGCTTTCGAAGCAGAAGGTGGTGAAGACGTTTGTGGTTGAGCCGGGGGTGGATGCGGTTGAGATAACAGTGAGTCTCTAGTTTTGTTGGAAATGAATGTGGCGTTGGTAATTCTGTGTTGTTGGGTGTGTGGAGAAGGGAAATAAAAGGTGACGGTACTGGGTTGTGGTGTTATGTGGATGGTGTGTTGATGTTTATTGTAAATTATTTGCTTCTGTTGTATATTTCAAGTGAATGAAATGAACTGTTGTTTCGAGTTATTGATTATAGGAAGAAATTCTGAGTTGCAAGTATCTACATATTTGTTCTTCCAAGGTGCTCTTCTCTGCTGTTGGTAAGCTGAAAGCTGTTTCCACAAATCTCTGTTTCCACAAATCTCTCTTTCTATATATGAATATGAATGAGTTTTAAGTGTTAATTTTAATAAAAATATCCTATAAAATCCAAGATTTCTTCGAAAAAATGATAAGATATTATAAAATGAACTGTTGTTTCGAGTTATTGATTATAGGAAGAAATTCTGAGTTGCAAGTGTACATATTTGTTCTTCCAAGGTGCTCTTTTCTGCCGTTGGTAAGCTGAAAGCTGTTTCCACAAATCTCTCTGTTTCCACAAATCTCTCTTTCTATATATGAATATGAATGAGTTTTAAGTGAGAATGGCGTTGAATTGAAAGAAATAAAAATACATCTTAATTTTAAAATGTCTCTTAATTTTAAAATGTCTTTTAATAAGGCCTTGGCATCTTGCAGTGTTGACAAACATATGTTTTTGCTGAATGATTATTGTCTTTTGCGTGTTGTTGAATGATAATGTCAACTGGGCCAATGATCAAGGCATCAAGCTCCGCATTGTCCGAATGTTTTAAAGGACTATCTCGTGTGACCCATTAATTTCTTTCCTTCTTTTAACTCATCATCCAAATTTTAAGCTCATATTAAAGACATGCCTGGAATGTTCTCTATGATGATCTAACGGTAAAAAAAAAATTAAAAAAAAAAATATTTTTGCATTCATTAAAAGCAATGTCGACATATCCCAAACCATCCACCATCCACCTACATTATTGGGCCCCACCACCAACCCGTCCAACCCCGTCTCTCTCCCCTCACTTATCTCTCTCTCTCACACATAGGGCTGCAAACGAGCCGAGCCGAGTCGAGCATTGGCCTTATCGAGCAGGATTGAATTTTTTTTTAGCTGCTCGAGCTCCATTTTTTAGGCTCGAGCTCGACTCGATAAGAAAATACAATAGCTTGAGCTCGACTCGAATTCAAAATGCTCGACTCGGCTCGAGTTCGATTCGAAAATTTTTAAATAATTTTGTCAAATTATATATATAGAAGGGGTATTTTAGTAATTTACCATATATCTCGAGCCGCTCACGAGCCGCTCGACAATATAAAATTCGGGCTCGAGCTCGACTCGAGTTCGTGCTCTAGCCGCTCGAGCTCGACTCGAGTTCGGTCAAACTCAAACTCGAGCCGAGCTTTGACTCGAGCGCTCGCGAGCAGCTCGTGCGCCGCTCGACTCGTGTGCAGCCCTAGTCACACACACATACAAACACTCGCGCTGACCTCCACAGCGCCGCCCAGGGCCATCCAAACGCCACCATCGCACCGCTCGCTGCCGCCCATTGGAACTCGCCGACGGCCATGGAGCACACGCCGACGACTATCTCCACCCTTCCCGCCACCATCTCTGCCCGTCCTAACGTCGGCTTTCGCCGCGATCCGGATTAAGTAGTTCGCAGTGGCCCGCAAAGGGAAACAATCATCCACCGAATTCAGAAAATTTGGGATGGGGCCTGGGTGAACAAGTCGATTGCAGAAACTGGGGATGGAGTATTTTTTGTAATTAGATAAGTCGAATGGAATTATCTGGTAATTAGAAAATTTTAACTATACTGCAAATTAGTTCAGGGGTTAAATTTGTAAATTAATAAAAATTGATAGTTTCACAATAATGTTCAGCAAATGCACACTATCACGTTTCGATTTGCACATAAAAAACGCCCGCACTGTAGAATGCATAATAATATTAAACAAGATATGCAGAATAGTATTAAACAAGGTGCGCTGTGAGACTGCACAATAAAGTTAATTGATATACACATTATTAAAATTTTCTAAAATTGAAATGCACATAAAAAATACCCGCTCTACGGAGTGCACAATAATGTTAGACTAAATGTGTATTAGTCTATGGGAATGTTCATTATCATAACATTGTGTGCAATGACCGCTCAGGAAAAATCAAAAGCACATTGTCACGCTATTGTATATTTTCTATTAAATTAATGTACATTTAATTTTCGCTATTATGCATTCCGTATCGCGGTTAGGGGTGTGAAAAGTTTAACCAAAATGAAAAAATGTAACTGAAATAAAATTTTCGGTTTAGTTTTTTATATGTTCATTTAGGTAGAGACTTTTACTTTTAAAATATATGTTCAAATTTGACTTTTTTTTTAATTAACCGAACCGGCCGGATTATATAATAAATATTATTTTCTTTGTATTTTTATGTATATATGTATTATTTCTTTTCAGCAAAAAATAATATGCAAGTTTAACTAAAAATATTAAAATACTATATATATTTTTATAATATAAATAATAATCTATTTCGGTTAATCCAGTTAATCGATGAACGTGGCTTGAAAATCTTCTGAATGTCGTTAATATTCTTGGATTGATTTAAAAAAAGTGAATGTCGCTATATTAATTATTGGTGAAAAATCGAAGTCTCTTTTTCTTCTTTCTGGGCTTCTTCATTGAGCGTAACCTACGAGAGTTGGTTCCAGATTGAACACCGATCTTCAACTTGAATGTCTTGGTCTTCAAGAACGTCTTTAAATCTTCAAGAGAGTTCTTGAGAACTCTTGAACTTGAGACTTTGATTTATGAAGTGTGATTTTTGTGTTTGGCGTTGATAGGTGTTAGGAAGTAGACATCAATTTGAGTGATCTTGATTTGATATAATTTCTTTCTTCTTCATAAGATTTTTTCATATCCTAAAGTTTGACTTAGTGGGGAAGAAATAATTATTTTGTTAATTAATATCTTATCTATGTTGGATTTATGTCCAAAAAAATATAAAAATATTAACTAATAAAATATTAAAATTTCCATATCCACAAAATATAAGAACATTAATTATAAATATTAAAATTTTGATTTATTTATTATTTAATATTAATTTCGAGTCTAGGTATCCCATCGACAATGTAGTATTTTCTTGCAAATTCTAAAAGCATCTTGCAAATCTCGACACAATTTCAAACTTTTCATTTCCCCCTTTATTTTTGTGTGTACGTATAAAAAAAAAAAGAAAAAAAGAAAATAAAAGAATTGAAATTACGAAATTAGCCATCAGCTTGGATGAAGTTTTGGGGCGAGTAATTACAGACATGGTTCGCCGGAATCTGGCTACTCCAATTAACCCGTTTGTCGGGAGTATACCCGGGCCCCCTATTCTTATACTCTCCATAGTACAACGTGGTCAACGCAAAATCCGTTTTGTCCCACGGCATCCAGCCAGCGGGCGAAATCAGAGCCTTGAGCGTGCACTTGATGTAGACCGTCCTCGAGTACTGCTTCCACGGCCTGCCCAAGAACGTAATGTGCGCTGAGGCGTTCTGTTGGATCAACTTCTTGTACTCGGCGGTGGCGTCGACCAACGAGTGGAGAAAAACAAACCCGGTGGACTGAGCCGGATCGGTCCTGCCATGGGCCGTCACGGCATTAGTCTCGCCTTTTGTGGGGTTGACCTGGCGGGGATTGACGAGGATGGTGCACTTTTCAAACACGGCGGCCGAGTTGCCGAATATGAAGTCCACATTGCCCTGAATGGTACAATTCTTGTACAACTGGCGAAGCGTGTGGGCGTACAGCGTGTCCTGGTGCCCGAAAAATTCGCAATTCTCCATGACCGAGCGGTCGCTGTCCGAGCGGAAGGCCACCGCTTGGTGCGCCATGGGGCCCGCCGTGTTCTTGATTGTGATGTTGCTGGCCATGAATCCGTCCCCTGCCACCGCTATATATATCATGGGGAACTCAAAGTCAAAACACAAACAAACAAACAAACAAAAATGAAAATGAAAATGAATGAGTTTGTTTTACCAAGAGTAGCGGAATTGTACGTGTTGACTCCCGGGTCGCCCACCTTTCTCGTCCCGGTAATGACCGTTTTGCCCACGCCCTCCCCCAAGAACACCACGTTCTTCTTCTTCAGCGGGACCCGCACCGTTTCATCATAAACCCCTTCCTGGATCCATATCACGAACAGCTCCCCGGGGCCGAGATTATCCGGGGCGGCGTCCACCGCCTTCTGCACGGACCCTCCCCTGCGCACCGTCAAGTCAACCTTCAGCCCAGTCGGCACGCCACAACGACACTCCTTGTCGGAACAGCTCCCCTTCTTCACGGGCTCCCAGACATTGTGCCTCTCGGTCTGGGGCTGGGCCCAAGGCCCGGTATTCTCCCCGTAGATATCGTAATTGACCATCATCCCTAGAGTGCTGCTGGTGCCCGGGATCAAGGTCCCGTTGAAGAACACCATGGCGTCGAGCACTGATTTGGTGTCGTTCACGTACTTGAGGGCCGACCAGCAGTCGTACTGGTAAGCCAGGGACGCACTTACCCACGCGCGCGTGTCTTTGAGGTTGCTGCTAATTGTGTCATGAGCCTGGGCGATTCGGTATTTGGCGTAGCCCAGCAGCTCGAGGCAGGTACTGGCGGCCGTGGATCGGTTCACGTTCCCGGATGATTCATCCAGGATAGCTTTTGCCATGGCCTGGCCCGCTCTTAGGTTCAGGTTCGTGGCACTGAGGGCGAATTGGATAACCTCCGGAATGGTGGCGCGGGGAGGGACTCGACCGGAATTGGACAGCCATTTGATGCAATTTGGGGGGTCGGCTGAGGCCTTGCAGGCCTCGGTGATGTTGGGAGATTGCTGATCAGAGGGTGAGGGGCTGTTGCAAGAGGTGGAGGAGTGAAGAGAAAGAGAGAGAGAGAAGAGGAGGAGGAGGAGAGAGTGGGTAGTGAGGGAGAGATAATTCGCCATTGGAATGATTATGAGGTTCGACTTGGGAGATGGTTTTTTTATGCCGGGTTGATGTTAAGAGTGTGGGGTTTATATAGGTGGATTAAACTATTTTCTAACATATTTTAGTCACATAAAGTATGACATATAAGACACAAATGATGTGTAATTTAGTATTTTAATAAAGGTGATTTCTTTTAAATATTCATTTAAGAAAATATAAGGAAATATGTGTTACAGTTTCAAGTGGTGTATGCTCTCAATTGTGTAGAAAGGGTACCCCTTAGAGTAGAGCTTGAAATGAGCCACTAATGAACTCAGTTCGGTTCGATAATGCTCGTTAAGGTCAAAAAGAATTTTTTTTAGAGGTTCAATTCGGCAAAGGGACAAAAAACTGTCCAAGGACCTAATTTGTTCCTAAGTCAGTCCCTAGCACCACTTACAAGGAACTAAACTCAACCCAATCCTTCACTGCAAATTGCACAATGCAAGTTCACTCGGATTTAAAGGTCGTTTTGTAACATCCTTTTGGTTCACATATTTCTACTAGAAAAACAAGTTTCCTTCTACGGGCATAAACTTTTTAATTTCACATGCTAGTTTCATGTTTGTGTAATACATGACTTATTAAATAATACTTCTTTAAGGAAAAAAAGGTCATTGTAATAGGTTTAAAAATTCAAATTTATCAAGGGTACAAAATTGTAAAAATGGTCAAATATAACCTTCATGTTTCAAAATTTTCGTCTAACCACAGCTTCGAGAAAATATATTTTTTTCAAACAAAATTGAGTAGGATTGGAAAATCTTTGCTAATCTGTAGGCTTTTGTAGGCACACTTAATAATTCGATGCGCATAAGACTTCACAAATAATACTTTGTACCTTTATATATATATGTGTGTATTTGTATTTATGTGTATCATTTCTCTGTAAGATTATATATATTTATTCAGTAGTGTGACGAATTCACGCAGATTTATTGGTCGTCTTGTAACATCCTTTTGTAACATCCTTTTGATTCCCATTTTGCTCCTAGAAAAACAAGTTTTCTTTTACGGGCATAGACTTTTAATTTTCGTGTGCTAGTTTCATATTTGTGTAATACATGAGATTTATAAATAATATTTCTCAAAAAACAAAAAAAAAGTCACTGTAATAGGTTTAAAAATTCAAAATTTATCAAGGGTACTAAATTTTAAAAAGGGTCAAATTTTTTCATCTAAATTTATGTTTGAAAACTTTTCATCTAACCACAACTTCGAGGAGATAAATTTTTCTAAAAAAAACGAGTAAGATTGAAAAATCTTTGCTAATTAGTAGGTTGTTGTGGGCACGCCTAATAATTCAATAGGCATAAGACTTCACAAAATAATACTTTGTACCTTTATATATATATATATATATAGTTAGGATCATATGAGAATGGTAGATAGTGAAAGAAATAACAATGAATCTAAACAATTAGATATATCATATCAATGGTGATGATTTTTTAATAAATAATGGTCAATCAGTAATGACAATATGGTAAATAAGGAGATACTAGTACAGAGGCTATTTATCCAGGTTTATAATTATATACATGAATAAAAAAAAATGTACGGATATATATAGTACGTGACCCGTGCGAAGCACGAGATATATTTAAGGAGAATATTATATTATAAGATGCAATATTCAATAAAAGTTTATAATACGCAAAAAAATTGTACAATGTTCAATAAAAGTTTTATAATATTCAAGTGGAGTCTTAAAGTCTCTTGTACGTTAAGACTACTGACAAAATAATATTTTAATCAATGAATTTCCTTTCCGTGTAGCCAAACTGTGAATGTGATTTGAGGAGTACAACAAATCGATATATACCTGACTTGCTTTTTTCATTGTAGTTTTTTTTTCTTTTTTCTTTATAATGAATTTAAAGATATTCTAAAATATAGCAAAAATTAATTTTTTTATTACAATTAGGAATTTTACTAAATATAAACTCTCAATCTATGGTGTTAATCAATGTTTAAGTCTAAAAAATTAGGAATTTTTACCTCTTTTAATCAACGTTTAAGTCTAAAAAATTAGGAATTTTTACCTCTTTTAATCAACGTTTAAGTCTAAAAAATAATAGAGTTATTATAAGTTTTTTTTCTACATCTTTTAAAACATTAAATATGAGCATGTTAGGGCTAGCTTGTAAAATAATTAATATATTATCTCACTAAAATATTTATACTAATAAAAATTTAATTTTAGCATATAAATTTATCCCTTGATATAAGAGAAAGTAACAATTTTACTTATTGTTGTTCACCATATAATATTTAATTATTATTTTATTATATAATAAAAAAGTAATATGCTTAAATAGTGTAGTAGAATTGTAATAAAATTATATGATTTTTTTTTACAATATGGATTTAATATTTTTTTATGATTTGATAATATAAACAAATCTATACTGAACTTTGATAAATAAAACAAATAATATTTTAATAAGTATTTAATGTATATACTAAATAGAAATATATTTGGTATAATCAAATACGAAATATAATCAAATAAGTCAAAGTGTACATTTTTATTTGGTATTTGATTTTTTATTATTAAAATATTTTTATTATACTTACCTTTTTTAAATAAAAGAAATAAATATATCAATTAAATAAATAAAATATTATAATAAAAAAATAGTAATGGCATTTAATGCAGTTGACTTTTCTGGATAGTAAATATAGTAAATAGAATCTCCTTTTATATAAGTATAGATTGTATAATACGGAAATAGTAATGCAATAAATGTTGTTGACTTTTCTTTATACTAAATCTGGTAAATGGTATACCTTTTAATATAAGTATAGATATGATGGTCAAATATATAAATTTTACCACTAATTAAGGGTAATTTAGACAATCGAATCAAACACACCATGGGACCCACCACCTCACACATTAACCCTACACCCCTAACCTACCCCGTCATTCACCTTCTTCACACACACAAACACACACACACACACACAATTCTCCATGCACACACACAGATTCCGGCCGTCGGCCCTCAGCCGAGCTCCCGTGGAGCTCCGCCGCCGTGCTTCTGTAACCCGCCGCAACGCCTCCACAGCTCATCCCCGAAAACGGATGCAACAAAGGATGCTCCGGCAGAAACCATCCATCATCTGTGTAGGTTCGCCGCCCGTCGCAGATGCTATCCTCCACCGTCCGCTCAATTAAATCCACCACCGCGACACAAGTCCTCCGTCACAGCGACACCAGTCCGGTGAAGATAGAGAAGGTGACGTCAATCAACTGGACTGACTTGGTGTCACTGTCGCGGCTGTTGTCGTCTGCCGTTGTTGTCATCGGCTGCGGCGATGTGGTCCTAGAAGGCTGGCGGCGGTGGGGGCGGCTTGATGTGGATTCTGGCCGGCGGGGAGTTGGCAATGGTGAGAATTGGGAGATTTTTAAGGGTTTGTAATTTGGGGCCTTTTAGGCCACTCGTCCGGCGGGTCATGACTGGCAGCTGCTGGTGGTTGTCGTCGTTGCGGGTGGTGTTGTGCCGACAAGGCAGGCGGCGGTAGGGAGCGGCTGGAATGTGACCGGATCTGGTTGTGTATTGGAGGGGCATTTGGGTTGAATTTTTGTAAATTAGACATTGCAAAGGGGCCTTTGTGTAGTTTTTTAAAAAATAATATATGTTTATAATTTTGTGCATAGTAAATCTGAAAATTATTTAAAAAATACTAATTGCATATAATGGAACATAAAATGCACATTAATGTGTTTGTATGCACACATAAAAAATTCAAATAACAAAACATCTACTGATAATTTTAACGTGGTTGAGTTTGGTCTATATTTTGCAATCAATTAGTCATTAAAGTGCAGTTCATTTAACGTAATTGTGCAATTTCAAAGCATACAAATATAATAATTTTAACAATAATAATATTCTTATATAATTTGTTCGTTTGGTTATTCCGATTGAAAAAAAAAAACTGACATTAAGCCAAGATAATCGAGTTTTTTAATGTAAAGAAAGTATGTCGAACCAAATTATAAAATTTCAAAGAAAATTTATATTTCGATATTGTGTAATCATCAAAATATAAAAATTTTGAATCGAACAAAAATTTTGGTTTGGTCGAGTTTGGTTGATGTTGTGAATAATCATTAAAGTTCAATCCGTCTAATTTTATTGTGCAATCGCAATGCATAAAAATATAATAACAATAAAAAATAATAATATCTTTCTATATTTCGGTCGTTTTGTTATTTTGATCGATGTTGTGCAATCACATAGTCATTGAATCGAGTGATTTTTTTTTATTATTATTATTTTTTTTTGTCCCAAATCAAATTGAAATCGAATCGAATGAATTTGTTTGTTCAGTCGGTTGACCTCATTAATAATAATAATAATAATTATATTAATAATAATAATAATAATATAATTCGCTTTAAAACTTTATATATCGGATCGATAATGTGTAACATGACGTTCACTAATGTGCAACCCGTTTAACAATTGTGTGCATTCCTTTTCGCATTATTGTGCAGTATATTGATCAGTTATTTTATGTGCATTCTTAATTTTAGAAATCATTAATAGTGTGTATTTCAATCAACATTAATTCACAGTTGTCATATTACTTATATTATAAAAATATATTCATTATTATAATTTTTACTAACTATTGTATATCATTATTTGTTGAAAATAAATAATACACCTATATATATAATATAAATAATAATAGTTTCATATAGTTTGGTTGGTTCTCATATTACATTTTTATAGATATATTACTATTTTTTTTTTAAATAAATCCAAGACATGAACCAAACTAACATAATTTTTTAATATATGTGAAAAATACACACTAGCATAACATTTTTTTTGGGTCACGCAATTTCGTTGTGCGGAATATGATGTTATAATAATGTGTATTATTAAATCCTTTATTGTGCATTTGATATATCATTATTGTGTAGTCTGATATTCATCAGTGTGCATCTTAATTACTATGTGTATTATGCATTACGATATTTTTTTTATGTGTATTGAAATAATTTGGTTGGTTAAATTTGGTTTATTAATTATATTATAAAAATATATTTCATATTTTAATATTTCTATTTAATACTTTATATTATTTTTTGGTTTAAAATACATAAACTAAATATGTATAAAAAATATATACAAAATAATATGTTTTTACATATTTTTCAAAAATTACAGTTTTGACCCATGGGCTAAATAGTAATATAGTTAAATCTTTTTGAAATTACAGATTGACCCCAGGGGTTTATGTGCAATTATATAAAACTTCTAAAATTGCAAATAAGTCATTGGGAAATATCAAATTTCCAAACTAATGTCCACATCTCGAAAACCGTTTTCAGTACATCTTTTTATGCCAGCAGTCGCGATCGTTACTGTCCAGCCGCAAAACGACAATGGATTTCGACGGGTTGCCGCCGTTCCTCAACGCCGACGACTGATTCGACGTCATGGGGAATCGGACACCTCGGAAAAAACAGAGATGCGATGATTCAAAGACGTTGGCCTCGACGCGCATTGCTGCCGGAGATCGATTAGTGCCTTCTTCTTTCGGCGGCGAGTGGTGGTCTTCTTGGACGGAATCGATTGGCAGTCGCGGGCAGAGGTCGAAATGACGTAATTTGCAGAAGCGGCGTCGTGACGGCGGCGACTGACAAAGGCGCAGCCTCCGCGGGCAGCGACGGAGGCTGATATTTTTTCCATTGCTTCGCGTCGGATCTGAATTAAGAGAATGGGAGGCTGTGAAAACAGAGCACGACAGTATCGCCGACGAGACTGGTGGGAGGCGTGAAGCGGGCGGCGGGGTTACCGGCGGGCGGACTGGCAACACCCGTATTTTCACCGTGACGGCGACTGACGGGCGGTGGCGACGGCTAACGTGCGGTGGTGGATTGACGGTAGGCGGGCCTTTTCTGTGGGTGTGAGTCAATTTTGTGTGTGTGTGTGAGCGTGTGTGTGAGAGAGATAGTGTGGGTGGGGTAGAGTGGGGTGGGGTGGCTGATGGGTGGTTGGGGGTTGATGACGTGCATTAATGTGGTGAGTAAATGGGTTAGTTGGCACATGGATTATTGTGGAAATCGGCCCACCTCTTTAGTTGTGGTGTGTATAATTACCACAATACCCTGAATGAAGATATAATTTTGACTTTTTTTTAGCCATTAGATCATCCGATCTAATGACTATGATGTATTGTTATTTCTTTCATTGAGCACCATTCTCATCGGAGTGTGACCCTATATGTGTATATTTTGTAGTGTATATTTTGCATTAACGTACATATTATTTCACGGTAAAATTATATATATTTATTCAAATGTATGACGAATTCACTCAAATTTATAGATCGTCTCGTAACAACCTTTTGATTCCCATTTTACTACTTAAAAAAAAAAGTTTCCTTTTACTTTAATTAATTTTGATAATATTTACAGTATCAAAATGACAATTTCATAATAATGCTTTATCAATTCCAAAATATTTTTTTCCTTTAAAACCTTTTTACATCCCAATATAAATAGTTTAGGAAACCTGATTTTTTTACGATATATAACTTCCAAAACTATTCTTATTTATTATTTCTAACAATAACATTCACCGGTCCATAATAGAAAAACAAGAATATAAAGGCCCTGTTTGGATGTTAGTGGATTGGTGTAAAAGTACAAGATTGAACATCATTTAGAAGTTTGACCCATCAAATCCGCTAGTTATCTTGTTTGGTACATTGCTTATTTGATTAGTCTTTTGCCCAAAACGTGATTTATGAAAAAACTTAATATCTGAGCATTTTAAGATAGAAGTTTCACAGAATAACATGTCTAACATAAATTTCCAAAATAGTTACACAATCCGCTATATATTACCAAACAATTATTTCCAACTAGCTTATACAATTCGTTGGCCAACTTGGCTATTATGATCCGCAATCAAGTATCCATTAATACAATCAACTATATGTTATTCGTTATCATCTATTAGTCAAACAGGGTTGAAGACTCGTTACGTGAAAATATGTGTGATTTTTGTTGTATATTTATTCTTCAATCCAATTTTGAGAACCAACTCATTAAAATGACATTTAAAGTAATAATTTTTTGAAAATGACTAGTCCCCTCTCAATCTACTACTATATAACAAAGTTACATATTTACTAAATATAGTAATAACTAAATAAATTCTTTTTCAACTTTGTAATTATGGTAAATACAAAATTTACACATCATTTGATGTTTTATTTTTTCCAGCCATTTCAAATATGTTTTTTTTATTTCTTTTTTCAAGCTATTTTAAAAATCAGTTCCTAATATATCTTAACAATTTCGGCTACTGTATAGGCGGTTGCGCAGTTTCGGTAGTGGTCTCTCGAGACTGGGACTACTTCTTGTGTCGATTGTTCACTGCTGGTTGGACCTGCTTGATTTGCCGGGGAAGGGCTATTTGTTATTTTCGTGTATTTGTTGTTCTTGTTTTGTTTGTCTGAGTATTCGTCTGTGTTTGGGTTAGTATATTTGTCAGGGACGGATCCACCTTATAATTAGGGGGGGCCATTGTCCCCCCCAAACTTTTAGTTTTGTCCAATACATGATATGTATGTATATATATTCTAAGACATTTAATTTTTTTAATATATATATATATAGAGAGAGAGAGAGAGGTTAAACTTATATAAAATATAATAAATTTATATGCATTCCCATAATTATCACAAATTATTGTATAAGCTATTTTCTAATTAGTTTTAACTTTATCATATTTTTGTAAGTACCCTATCAATATTGTTTTATAATATTTTGTGTTTAATCTTATGTACAATTAACAAATTAAAGAGTAAATTTGGAGAAGAACATACAACATATGCATTTCAATGGTCCGAAATAGAATTGCTAGAACTATTAATATCGCGGTAGGCCTTCTCGTAGCTACTTAATAGTTAAACAACCACACTCTTTCAACAAATATATTTATACATTCTTACTTAAATGGCATACTTTATAGTGCAATACAAATAAAAGTAGGACATTTCATAGTATAATAATGCATTTTTCACAGGAAAATATACATGTCTAACAATTTAGACAGCCTACCAATTATAGCGTTTGTGTTAATATCGAGCCAATCATCAATGAGTTTCATCAGTGTAAAGAATGTTAGAGTATTTAAACTACCAAAATTAAGAAGTTATGTATTTTATAGTGCAACTTATTAATTATTTTAATAATTTTAAAATACAATTTTACGCCTATATGTNGTTTGAATAGTCGTTCTAGTTTAGCTAATTTAAATATATAATGATATGATATCAAACTTTCAAGAGTTGAACAAACACCATATGGTTTCAATAACTAGCCCCTCCCAAACTTTTTTCCTAGATCCGCCCCTGATATTTGTGTTTTAAGTTTGGGCCGTTGGCTTCGGTTAGCGCGATTGTGACCTTATTATCCTGTTGGGATCGCACACTTGGGTAATACCCTGTTGGGGTCTGTTTTGCAATGTTTTAGTTTCTTAGTGTCTTTGTGTCTCTTTGAGTTTTTAGATTACCCTGTTGGGGTCGGTTCTAGGCAGTCTTTTGGCTGTCCTCCCAGGTTTTCAGCTGTTGGCTGTCTATATTCAGCTAGTGGTTGTTCTTTTGCACTTTTGTGCACGTTTTATATATAATATCTCTATCGTTTTGAATATATATATATATATCTTAACAATTGTTAAATGTTGATTCACGTAGCATGTATGGACTTTTTTAAAATTCATACAACACATATATTATTTATCAAACTTATCTGTTCATTGTTGATATTATATAAAAATATTCTTTTGACTACAAAAGAGTTGTATTTTTTAACTTTTGTTTTCATTTGCATAAGGAAAGATAAATTAACAGTAAATCGGGTAAAAAAAATATATTCATTTTCAAATAAAAGATTTATACACAATAAAACCAGTTCAAGACGCTATTTTTTTTATTTACATACATACAAATATAAAGTGTGATATTTTATTTTATTAATAGTGGTTTGGGACGTAAATGTGATATTTTTTTAGTGTGATTTTTTTTATTTACAAGTTCTCGATTCCCCCTTAAATCTTAACAATTGTTTAATACTAATTAGCTCATACTTTAAACACTAATCACGATAGATACAAATCAATCTTTAAAAATCATCTCAACCCACTATTTGTGATATATACTACCGATTCAAATTCAAAAAAATCTTCTATATTTTATTAAGACATGCAAAAAATAAAAAATAAATGGGACAGACATGTTTTATAACTTAACAAATTTATTTATACTAATTGGTTATCAATGTTGTTGCTTTCGAAACAAATCATAGTATATCTTTTATTTATTTAAACAACCGATTGATTTACAACCAAAATTATTATATCTTAACAGTTTTGTTACATTAATCCCCATACATACAAATCAACTTTTACAAATAATCTTAACACACGAATTGTCGTAGAAATACTACCGATTTTAAATTTAAAACAAAAATTGTTATATTTTATTAAGTGATACAATAATAAATGAAAAAAAGGGAATTGACATCTTTGATATTTTAACATATTTTTTTATACTAATTGATTATCAGAATTGTTTCTTTTAATAAATCATATTATATATTTCATTTATTGAACATACCGATTGATTTACTACCATGATTATTATATCTTAAAATTTTTTTTTATACTAACAATTGTTAAACGTAAATACAACACATGCTTTAAATATTAATCCCGACAGACATAAATCAATATTACAAATCATTTCAACACACTAATTGGGATGTATACTACTGATTTAAGTTAAAAAATATGCTATATTTTATTAAGAGATACCATATCAAATTCAAAAAGAAAAAAATAAAAAGGACAGGAGATACATTGTCAAATAGAAAAAAAAAGGGAAGAATCTCGCATATTCGCTTGCTCTTGAAGAACGATGTTCAGTCGTGGTCAGTTGTATGTAGTTGTTTCACGTGTTACGAATCATAAGGGTTTTAATATTTTACTTTGCGGACATGACGATATATCAAAGCTCAAACAAAGAATGTTGTCTACAAGGAGGTGTTTAATAATGTAAAATAATAATTTTTTTTATTCCAATAAATGTGTTGCTTTGAACAATGATATCATCATTCAAATCAAAATGTTTCCCTTAATATTACCAGCTCATTCATCGTACAAGTACCGCACTAGTTTTTTTTAAGACATTTATTGCAAAAACTAATAAATTATTTGCTACAAATAAAACAATCACATAACGTATTCTTACCATAATATAAGGGTTCCAAATTATGTAGTTTCTAGAGCATCTGCAATGCTTTTGGTCTAGTTTTATCTATGTGGCATGTAAATAAACCTAAGTTTTGGATGTCATGGATAAAACAATATAAAATTAATAAAATTCACTACAAGGCAAGAGACTAGGTATATTTTGAAATTAATAATAATAAAGTTTTACTTGTATAACTGTCATTTGAATGCTGGTCATAAGGATTTAATTAAATGAAGTCCTATTTTTATTAATTATTGTCTGAATAAAATTTATTAAAGTTTACCAGCAATTATATATATATATAGATATTAATGTTAGATATTGATTAATTATATGTCCCACATCGGATGTGCACCAATGATGTGTAAGATCTTTTTATTATAAATATGTCCATTGCCTTTGTGTTACAGTTACATCTTATTCTATTCTCTCATATTTTAAAAGGAAATCCTTAATTATGGAAATCCAATTTGCGGGTTATTTAACCCTAGTTGTATTTTGTGGTGAGTTTAGTACATTTGGCGTTGCGGTTGGCGCTGTCCGGAGTCGTAGGCAATATTTTCCGAACTCTGTTATCATTTTTTTTTATCTTTTTCTTTTTCGTCTTTTATTTATTTGTGTTGGCTTATTTTCGTTAGTAGTAGTACT